GTTGTATTTCTATTGTATGCAGATGAAGAACATCTGAGTCGTGGTGGGATTCTATATGTCCCGTATGATCCTAATGCGCCGCGGCCGATTTATAAGACCAAACAGACGGCCCGTAAGCGTGCGTCTTCGCCTGTATTTCCGCGAATGGCTGTGGCGGATACGCGGGGTGAGCATCAATTAGTTGTTACGGAGGCCTATTTTTCTGGCCTTAATCGCTTTCATCCCCGTTTTCCGGAGTTATATTTGTCTGCCTTTCTGTATACGCATGGATCTCTTATCAACCGTTATGATTTGTGCCAGATCACTCGCCGTTTACCCACAGCTATTGCTTTAGAACTCCGACGGCAGTATCTTTATCTAAATCCTATTTTTGTTGCCTTGTTTCAAGAAATCGGCAACCGTCAGCGAGCTGATGCAGCTTCGCGTCAAGCGGCTGTTATGACGGGAAATGTGGAACCTGCTGAACTAGAACCATCCACTTCTGCCGCCCCATATCATCTTCGTTCTCGTGGCCAAAAGCGCAAGTATAAGGAGGTTTCACCGTCCCCGTCCTCACCGGAAAGCGAAGTCTCGGTTTCGGATGTAGACCTTGACAGTGACGATTCTCCCGCGGTGCTCTCTGCTGATGAAAATGCGGACGATGAAGCCGACAGTGATGAAGAGAATCATATCGATGGATCCGATTTGGAGAACATGGACGTGGATCCCTTGCCGTCCATGCAGCCAGTCGCTCTTGCTGTCCCAGCTATTGTCCATGAAGACTCGCCTGAATTTCCCGAACCGGCAAATTACGACCAACCGCAACCACATTCGGAGGAATTGTAATTGCGGTATTGTCTTATCATTTTTCGTTATGATTTCTTCCTTTTTCTCGTATTGTGCTGACCTCTTTTGTTAATACATTTTCAATTGTATTTTGCATTATCGAGGATGGAAGGAATTGTGTGCCTTATTTTCTTCAACTTTTATTTCTCCATTTTATACGCTTTGAGTCAATGAACTGGTCGTTGTACGTACTATGTAGTTGTGTAAGCGCCACTGCCGAATCTTCCGTTGTGCCTAGATTAGATCTGATCTCTTGATTAAGTTGAATTAAAAGGATATAGCGCGAAGCGCTGATTGGTCGTTTCTTTTACCTGTGGAATCTGCCGCACTTTAAATTTTCGCATCGACCGACAGGTATAAAATCATTTGCGTGTAGCGTGCAGAAATCGGCATTGTGGATTTTTCGTTTCGGCCTTCTGGCGTGTCTGATTTTCAGTATCTGTAGACTGCGATTTTGACGTTTTTCTCCTTACATTCTTTAGCGTTAAAGGTCATTAGTTTTCTTTAGTTTGGGCATGCCGCCTATTGATCCAAACCGTGCCTTTGATAAGTTGGTAGACGCCATTTTTCACTCGTCTTCCAACCAGCAGCAGAATAATGCCGGTTATAATTACCGAGGAAGGGGTGGAGGCCGTGGCTCTTTCCGTGGCAACTTTCGTCCGTACGGCAGAGGAAATCATAGGAATTTTGGAGACAATAATCTCCGTCGCGGAAACGATCACTGGCGTCGTAATGGCCGACATCTGGGCGCACCGGAGATTATTGAAATACCTGATGGAGCTCCTCACGCAGCTGCACCAGTGGAAGCTCCCGCCGCAGACATGGAGGTTGATCTCCCGGGAAACCAAGCGCCGCATGCGCAGGATCCGATCCAAGGCAATGGAGCTGTGGTTGCAGGTCAGCCCCATGGTGTCGACCCTGCTGTCAATTTACCTGGCCCGCCAGCCCTGAATGTTATCCCTCCGGCTGTTATTCCGCCCCTGCAGGCCCAAGTTAACGCTGAATTTCCGGGTTTGCCGCCGAATGTTGTACCGTTACCCGAAGTGCCGATTGTCCGTGATGCCCGTGACCGTTCTCCAGCTGATCGTCCACGCGCGCCGTCTGCGCCCTCCGGCCCCGTTGGTTCAGCTGAGCACAATTTTGTGCCTGGATATTTGGCTCAGCAGCAGCAGCGTGAATTGGATGCAGATCGTCGCCGCCAGATGGCTGCGGATGTTTCTCGCCGTTTGGATGCCGCTGCAGCATCTGGTTCTGGTATCACTGGATTGTTCTCATTGGCTCCTAATGCTGGCAAGTAACCTTGAATAACCTTTCGATGATCTGTTGTTGTTTCCTTTTGATCTCACCGGTATTACTGGTTATTGTTCTGTTTTGTATATCACTTTAATGCATTGGAGCTGCATTACCTTCCGTTGTTGTTGCTCTTTTATTGGTTTCTACCTTCGTGTTGGTTGACCCATATTATGCACTTATGATCTTTATGCCTAGCTTGTTTGTTATTGTTGACAGTTGTTACTGGATGATGTAGTACTCGAGAATTCGTAAGAATACTACTCGTTGCTTGGTTCAGTCCTTGTGCTCGTTTAATGCATAATTTTACAAAATCGCACACAATTACATTTTAAGATTTTAGATTTCACAATCAATAAAGCTTTATGCCGTACGCTATACATATAGTCACACCATCTAAAAACGGCACATGCAGTATCAGTAATTCATAGTTCCGCCTTCCTGGATCCTTTGGACCTCCGCCCTGCCAAACCCGTGGACTTCCGGATGCCTTTTCGCCAAGGATTCCACACACTAACTCATTCGGAATCGCGGCGTACAGTCATATCGGGCATCGGATGGACACGTGGATTGAGCGGTGGATCGGGATCGGGATGGATGGAAGTGCACAATCGCACTGGGATGTTGCGGGATGGATTGTTTATATTGGCACGGCCAAGCATCGTTCGTGGGGGTGACGTGTGGGAGTAGGATCACACGCCGGGATGTACGTACGGATGCTGACTGTCCGCCTTCCACCTGCAACATAATGAATAATCTAGTCAATCTCCACTGTGATTTGCTGTTCTCTTTTACTAGCGGTGTATATGATGTCATAACGCGAAGTCTATATAAGTCGGAGTTGTCACTAATATCGGCAGCAGTCACTGATCAGTAGTCTGAGATTTACTTCTGAGACTGTTTTCTAATTACGATTTCCCTGCGTTGTGAACTGTGGTGTGAATTGGATAAAGAGGCAGCAATACTTGTTCCTTCTGATGTACATGATCGTTCCCGGATTATTGCATAGAATACAGGTTTGCTCGTGACACAATCGTCCTAGCTCTTGCCGATCCTCACAGGACTTGCGACCGGAAGTTGTGGTTGGAGTGTTCCTGCTTAGGGATTCCTGATTCGTGTTCCTGACTCGCTCGTTGTTTCCGCCATAAGGATCTGTTACAGTTTGAGAGTACGAGTGCCTACCGACTGAGCATTACAGGCGTGGAAGAGTAAAGATGGTTCATGGAGCCCTAACCGGCGTGAACGCTTATACACGACAAGTGTTAAGATGCACAGGTTTGACTACCCGCACAAAATCTGGAACTAAGAAACTGTTTGACTTGCACAGAGCCGTTGTAGCCATCTGCAATGCTGGTTGCTTGTAAGAAGGAACACACAGCCGGTCTTTGACATTAAGCGCTGATTCGACGGCTTGGTTCCAGAATGGTTGGGATTCCCTCTATTCAGTATGTCGGAGACAGTTCAAGCAGAATCATCTAGTAGGGGATTACCGGATAGCCTACTTCTGGGCGAGCAGAAACGGAAACTACCGGATAGCCGACTTCTGGGCGAGCAGAAACGGAAACTGAATGCCAAACACACTCTAAACCTGATATTCCTCTCATCTACAATGAAACTATGGACATTACAGGGATTTCAGTCCGAGCCGTTGCTGGACAGCAAGGTGGTATTGTGAATAATGTGGTTCTTTATCTCCTATATTTTTATTAGCCCATGCCAGACACATGTCACTAATCACCTAACCAAAAACTGTCGATTTTCCTTTACCAGGCTCCGAGGCGATAATGCACACAGGCATTGCGCCCGCAGTCTGAACTTACTTATTAATCTACAGTAATCATCTATTCAAGCCGCGCTCGATATAGACGCCAGAATTTATTGTTCGTGAAGTCTGTGAATTACGGAACAAAATCAGCCTAACAAAAAAATGATATTCTTTTATCAACACCATCCAGAATGCCCTCGACAAAGTCACGTGGAATAAATTGACTTTTTCGAGCAGTCAGGTTTCAAATATTCCCTGCAGTGAACACTGAACAGCTCAAATATAAATTACCGTTTAATTTCATGTAGCTTACTGCGGCCCACGGTCGAGAGTAGACTTAATTTTGACTTCCGTTGTGCGATGCATTATAATAAACGGATTCAGCTCGCACATCAGTTCCAGCTTAAGGTTCAAGGTTTAATGCTTAGTGTCATACGTAGCGTTATACGTAATGCTTAGTGTTATACGTAGCGTTGCTTGAGCTTTTTGTCCACGTAGAAGCTCTGACCAGTTGTAGTGTGCGAGGTCAGCGTATAGTAGTTTATATGTTTCAAAATTTGCAGTACCACACATTACACACACACTTACTTACTTACTTAGCACATTGGTGCAAAATGCACATCATGCACGGCACAGCAATGCGGAATTTAGCAGCTACGGCTGACTACAAAAAATTCAAATCATTACCATCAACAAGTATGCTTTTGCCCGGCAAAATGACCAACGCTGTTCCCGATTTAAGCCGTTAATCATAGCCACACTAATGGCCGCTTTAAGTAAGTCGTAGATGTGCTCTCTCCTAACGCCTGTCCAAGAAACCGTTCAAAAAAATGACTATCTCGTTTGTTCCTCCAAATGTTTCACCGGTATGTGACGAAACACCACTTAATGTTCTCAGCACGCGTTATTGTCGTTGTCGCGTTATTGTCGTTATCCGTCGCATATCAACCGGTCCGTTATTCAGAACAGAAACACTCCAGCACGTGCCGTTGCCAGTGTGGAATATGGCGCGAAAATCGTTCCGTGCCGACTCAACTCTTCATTGCGATACCAGCCGTACCGCGAATAACGGCGCTACTTCATTCCGCGCGCGCCTGCAACCTTGCGCATTAATATCGGATCAGAAGCCGTGCACGGATGCCAAGACGCTAATCCGATTAGGATGCAGCTGCTCGTCCAGCCGATCCTGCTCAGCGCCGGCCATGGACGAGCTGTCGCTGGAGCGCAGTCCCACGCTGCCACTACCTGCGGAGTAGGGTGGGGGTGGACCAATGTATACGCCGCTGGTGTGGAAGACCGTGGATTCGGTATAGTTGAGAGTGTGAGCCGGTGGCGGTCCCAGCGGGGCCACCGCGCGCTGTGGGCGGCGGCAGCTGCGACATCCCGGCATCTGCTTAAACAGGCTGTATACGCCCTCACGTAGTTCGTTGTTGACAAGTAGATACACCAGGAAACTGCTCATGATCCCTGCAAGATGTTTATTAATCATTTGATGATGCCAAAGCGCAGACGCAAACCAGCTGCTTTTGAACAAATATTGAGCGCCTTCATGCATATTTTACATATGTACCCAGTACCGGCATTTATATCACGTCGGCAACGTGAACTTTAATCTTGACGTTCAGCTCAGCGCCTTAATAGTTAATCCCTTTCGATTAAATTAGATTATTAGAGCATTAGAGTAGTGCTATGGAGGCTGCCTAACATAGAACGCGTTTTAATGTGCCAAAATTTGGATTACTGTTCTACCTTCTTGAAACCTTGACGGCACATAAAATTAGTGAAAAGAAGGTTCTGAACTGCAAATTTGTTCTTTGTTACATAAATAAAAAGATCATAGGACAGCGAATCATATCACTGCATAGATATATATTTATTATGTAAACGGAAAACGTTGAAACTTTAGCCCATACCGAACCAAGTTAAAAGGTACAGCGCCGGTCCAAGATTCTCCGCCAGATCATTCGTAATACTCCCCGGTATAAACGTCCAGATTGTATTGGGTAAGAAACAAGCCATGAAATAGCCGCTGACAATGGCTGTCCGCTTGGCCAACACCAATTCCAGTCCCAGCTGGCGTGCGAAGCGCAGCGAACGCGATTTCGTTTTGTGCTCTTTGGCAGCGGCCAGCCGCATCACCCGTACCTAATGCGTTCAATTTCAACACTTTAGACCCGGTTTTAAAATGATTTGACATTAAAGCTGAAACGTAAGGCAACATTATAGGTGCACAAATTTTTTTCGAAATTTACTGTTTTTTCCAACGGAAATGGCTAAATTTTGAAATTCTTTTTTATATTTAAATATCGAAAAACATTTCAATTGAAAAAATAATACTATAAATTATTTCCACCCAAAAAGCTGGCTTTATCCTGGAAAAGTTTCTTTGGTTTGCCGTTGTATTTTTAATCCCGAAAATCTGGTCTCAGTGTAATCCTACCTGCCACATAATGAGCCCGTATCCCAGCACAATCACCACCAACGGCAGCACAATAAACACAATCCGATAGAAAACAACAAAGGGGTACTGCACCGCTTCCCACTGACAGCGCGCGATACCCCGGTTGAACCCGTAGGACGCGCCCACCTGGAAGAACGGCAGAGTAAAGACGACGGCGGGAAATAACCACGTGACCGCCACCAAGGCTTGTCCGACGCGGTTTTCCAGCTGGTGGCTAACCCGGCTGACGTAATGGATTGCCAATAAACGAGCAATTGGAATAGCGGCGTGGATGAGGCAGTGGACGAAGGTCATGGTGATGGTCAGAAAGGCGAAGAAACGGCAGCTGCCGGCGCCCAGATCCCAGCGATGGGTGATGTGGGAGAAGGCGGTCGGCGGCATGGCCAGGGAGGAGTAGACGGCACCGAGGATGAACATGCTGAGGAGCAGCCGGTTGGTGGGGGTCAGGCACATGCGGCTGTGCAGCATGGCGCAGATCATCAAGCTGTTCCCGACGAAACCCACCACCATCAGCGGGATCAAGATGTACCCGAAGACTTCGTACACCACCGCCATATCTCAGAGACGATAATGGACTTCCATCGGTTGAGCTTGACACTAGTATGACACGACGAGGAGGCACGATCGAGGCATGGCATAAGTAGAATGGTGTGATACAGATATCAGCAAAATCAGAATGCAGCAGAAAGTTTCGTAAATCAAGCTGTCATGATTGTGCTAATATCTTCGAACTGTTGAGCTTCACTCCAGTTTGGCACGGCGAGAAAGCACGATCGAGGCGCAGCATAAGTGGGAGCAGCAGTACGCTTCGAACACTTAAACGCCGCTTTAAAAGCGGTATGATTTTTTTAATATAAGATTGTACCAGAGATGGTCGATCATGTTCCTCCATTTAATAACACAAAGTCAAGGAGAGAAACTTCCCCATGGAATGGTGCAATGCAGGCCGGCAGGCCAGGCATTACATCTTTGCCAGCGTGAGCGGCGCAGTGCCCGCCTTTTCCCGGCGGATTAACCTTTCAAAGACGAGAAAGCTGCCACGCGTGGAACGTACTGGAAACCCGGCGAATTGTCTCGACAAACGATCGAATTAGCCGGCCGCTGCAAGCGCAGCCGATGGAGGATTAGCGGCAACGTAATCCAGTGGATTTCTGCCTGGTTGCCGGCACCCCGAGGGTCACGGGCTTAGCCGCCTCCGCGCGCCGCGGTGCGCACGCAGGCGCCACAGCCTTGATTTTTTGCCAGCTTGTTAATCCCCCGCACAGCAGGTCTTCCTTGTTCATTATTTATGCTCTGAGCAAGGTGAGCTTAATAAGTATATTTCTCTACGCTGCTGCGCCCAGTTGTATCTCGCGGGATTACGTCTGTATATGCATGAACCGAATAACCAAGCGACAAGTGATAAAAAAATGACGATTGCAGTGTGCACGATAGCGCTGTTTACGGTTTCCACCAGCTGCATGCTGATGCAGTGGGCGGCAAAATGCAGACAATCGCCAAATACCACCATGACCTTTATTGGCGGTATTACGCAATGAGACCGTCAAGGCATGTGCTGTTGTCCTTTGGCGGTCACGGGTAAAGGCTGCGTTTGACTCATTGCGCAACGCGAGCTGTTGTACGACAGCCGCATAAAATGTGCAGCGTAACGGATTAACGTTTCATTCGGCAGACGCTAGCTATAGTTGTCAGAAAATCGCGCATGCACTGGTTGGTACTGGTAGATACTACTATTTAATACTGTAGTCTATTACGTATTATACGGTACGTACTTGGCTGTGCGCATAGCGCTAGATCAATAATCAAAGAAACAGTAATAAATTAAAAATGATTTGATTTAAAATTTAATTTGACGCAGCGTAACACCAATTGTAATTGTAATAACATCACGTATCTCACAAATTCGTCCTGAGCCACACGAAACGAAATTCGTACTAAACCACGTATCTCACAAATTCGTCCTAAACCACACCCATTCACGAGAGGAATCGTGCTTGAAAATTCTGCATTCTAATACGATCGAAAGTAAGGTATATTCGCCCGTTGAACTCACTAACTTATTAACACTGGCTAAAATATCTATCGAAGCTGTGGATGTATAAGTACATAATGTTATACAAACACAAACATCAACCTGCTTTCACCCCGCATTGCTCTAGGGTGGGGAGTTGCGGAGCAGACAGGATAACATAGTTACTTCGGGATTTGCCTTTCATTTTGCACAACAGTTGAATTTCCGGAGGTACACTGTACTTTATTGATATGGATTTTCCCAAATTGACGCACAATTGTACCCACAAAGATAAAAGTGGGCTCATCTGCATAAAAGTGCATATATGTAGCTAATGTAGGTGCTTTGATAGTCGCATGTTATTGATTATAATTTACCGGTTTCACTTCCTTTGGGGAATCTCCGGCGGCAACCGTTCCCTGCCGGAAGGTGGTTAGGCACAGTTTGCCCTGTTATTTTGGTACACTTAATATATGATCGTTTCTCCTACACTATACGTAACGGAGAATACCGCCAAATCCCATCAATGATCTTTACTGTAGCCGCACACGATAGATAATGATTCGCTCAATCACAACTTCATCATGGCGCTGAGAAATCAGCATAGAAAACAGACGTCTTTAGACACAGATAGCTACGTGAAGATAGTTCACAACAATTGCATAAACGCCGGATTACGCCGGTGAGCAACACTGTATACATGACTATGCGTCACACAGCACTCCCGTTCTTAAGTTTGAAGCACGGCGAAAACCAATCACTTTGAGAAACGGAACATAACTTGAACGATTGGATGACCGTAATGAAGGAAAACGCTATATAAAAATTACATGAAAGAAGAGGTGCAAGCGTTAAGGCAAGGCATTACGGCGAGGGTTCCCGTAGGGTCCGGTTACGAAGTGTCCGGATAACGGGGCGATCGGTTTCGTCGACGGGCTCGTCCGGTTTCCTGGCAGGACGACGAGGTTTGGTGACGCAGTCCCGCTCAATTTCCACGCGCAGCTCGGGATCCACGTCCTCGACGGGAATGTCCCACTGTGAATCAGTGTCACCCATTAAATCCAAATCAGACAGAGGCTCCGTGAACAGTTTTAGTCTCTTTACGTGGACAACATGAGTGTTGTTACCACGTTTTTTAGTACGCACAGACTGGATCTCGTAGTTAAGCTTTGATTGACGGCTAACCACTTTGTACGGTCCAAAGTAATGTGCGATTAATTTTGGAGACAAACCAACAGGAGTTACCGGCGTATACAATAACACCAAATCACCGATTTGGAATTCACGCGGTTCTCTTTTGATATTGCCGGTCAACATATAACCAGCTTGGACATTCTCAATATTAGCTTTTGCAACATCACTAGCCAGTTTAAGACGCTCAACGAGAGCCTGACTGTATTCGTGCATGTTATTCAAATTGTTATTCGGAAGTGCACCAAGCTGTGCGTCCATGACTGAACGGCACTCACGCCCGTACAACAAATAAAATGGTGTTTTATTTGTCGAGGCTTGCTTACTGGTGTTGTAAGCTGTAGTGACATATGGGAGATGTAGGTCCCAATCTTTTTGATTATCACTGACATACAGGCTAAGCATAACGGCTAAAGTTTTATTGAACCGCTCAGTCAATCCATTACACTGTGGATTGTACGCTGTTGTGTTCAGATGCCGCGTTTGACATAGCACTAGAACTTCCTGAACTACATCTGACAGAAATGGACCACCTTGGTCACTCAAAATTCTTGACGGCGCACCGTGACGCAGTATTACTTGATGCACCAAGAAATTAGCAACTGCAATAGCGGTCTGCGCCGGAATAGCTTTTGTTTCCACATATTTTGTCAAATAGTCAGTACAGACTATGACATACCGGTTGCCTTTAGCGGTACGGGGAACAGGACCAAAAACATCCACTCCCACCATCTCGAATGCAGTGCCCACTGGAATTGGTTCAATAAGACCACCGGGTTTATCAGTTGGGACTTTACGAAGTTGACATTGTCGACAGCCGCGTATGTACTTACGCACATGATCACGCATGCGCGGCCAAAAGTAGCGCTGACGCACACGAGTATACGTGCGCCAAAATCCCAAATGACCGGATGTACGCTCGTCATGACAAGCGAACAATATGTCACGTCGCAAATGTTTTGGTACTACGAGGAGCAGTACGTCTTCCCCGTCAACTAACGCTTTGCGATACAACAAGTTGTTGTTCATGGTATAACACACAGTGTCGCGAGACACCAAACCGATTGCCAACTTGTCAATCACATCACACAGTCGTGGGTCTTGCACCTGTTCATAGTGGAAATCTGGAGTGTCGGTCATGGCTACTAACATGTCCATTTCGACATCAGCACTGTCAGCTGGTTCGACGGGATGTCGCGATAGCGCATCCGCATTTTGGTGACGTTTGCCGCTACGGTATACAATTTCAAAATTGTATTCTTGTAACAAGACCGCCCACCTGCTCAGACGACCGGCTAATTCACGCCGGCTCATAAGCCAACACAGTGCACAGTGGTCTGTCACAATGCGAAACATCTTACCATACAAATAAGGTCGTAACTTTTTAACCGACCAAACAATTGCCAGACACTCTTGTTCAGTGACCGCATAATTACGTTCTGCGGGACTGAAACTTTGCTAACGTACGCCAACACCCGTTCGCAGTCACCCAATTTAGATACTAAACATGCGCCTATTCCAAGGCCGCTAGCATCGCAGTGTAGCTCGATCTCAGCATTTGGATCATAATGAGCTAAAATCGGCGAACTAATTAGTGCGTGTTTGAGTTTTTCGAAAGCAACCATCTGTTCGGAAGACCACACAAACGGTTCGGTTTTTCTCGTTAACCGTACCAGCGGTTCCGATAGACCGGCAAAATCCCGTACAAACCGACGAAAATACGAACAAAGTCCTAAGAACGACTTTATGTCCGTGACATTTTCTGGTACTGGATAATCTGCGATTGCCAACAGTTTATCGGGATCGGGACTAATACCATTACGGTCAACGACATGACCAAGGTATTTGGTGCAATCGGACGCGAAAACACATTTTGATGGTTTAAGCACAATACCTGCGTGGCGAAGCTTGCGCAGTACGGCATCAAGGTGCTCCATGTGCTCTTCAAACGTCTTCGAATAGATGAGTACATCATCTATGTACACTATAACAAACTGCCATCTGAATTCATTCAGTATTTTGTCCATTGACCTTTGAAAGGTCGCCCCGGCGTTACACAAGCCGAAGGGCATACGGCTGAATTCATATAAGCCGTCAGGCGTCACAAAAGCGGTACGGTCCTTGCTGGACTCCGCTACGGGGATCTGCCAGTATCCCCACGCCATATCTAAGGAAGTAAAATAAGCGCACCCACCTAACTGATCAAGCGCGTCGTCCAAGCGGGGCATTGGGTACACGTCCTTCTTGGTAACAGCATTGACCCGGCGATAATCAACACAAAACCTCGTTGTGCCGTCTCGCTTGTGTACGAGTACAATGGGAGACGACCACGGGCTACAGGATGGGGTCACAATGCCTTGGCGGAGCATTTTATCAACTTCTGTACGAATGACAATACGCTCGGCCCACGATCGCCGGTAAGGAGGTTGGGACACTGGCAATGCACTGCCTGTGTCTATAACATGCGAAACTCCTTTTACTTTGCCAAAAGGGCGTTCAGCAGTGGGAAACACGCTTACGTGTTTGCGCAACACAGCGTGCAACTGTTCAGTTTGATCGGCAGTTAAATTTGCACCACACTGAAGATCTGGGAGTTCACACGTTTCAACCACCGAGCACTCTGGAACGCGGTCAACATACATTGGTGTCGCAGACGCAATATTCTGACCCTTACCGATTGTTTGGGTCATGCGAGAGAAATTTGCACACGCCAAATAACACACATTGTTGACCATTTTGACTAGCGCGTTTGATGTACGTAACCCTTTTTGAGCGAACGTGTTAGCGTTTGGGGAAACTATAAACTCCATATTTTCTGGTTTCACACGGCCAGGAAATAGATTACGGTTTAGTTGACATTTCACCCAAGCTACGTGACCAGCGGGAATGTGCACTTTGCGACTTGCAACAAGATTCCGCGCTTTCCATGGCCTGAACTGTTCGCCATCACGTTCATCAAAGCGCCGTATAGTACGACCGGCATAATCAATTACTAGATCCGTTCGCATCAGAAAATCATTACCGACCAATAATTCACGATCGTACGTGTCTAGCACAAGTACGTTAATTTGGTGCGAACAGTTTGCCAATAACACATCAACACAAATAGTGCCGACAGGCGATATCAATTTGCCACTAACACCTTTAACGGGCCGCCCGGTATATGACTGAATACACAGATCTAACATCTGTGCACAGTGCACACTCATAATCGTTACAGCGGAGCCGGTGTCAATCACAGCAGGCACGGCCATACCATTAACATATGCCGTAGTGCAAACTGGAGCCGGAACAGTTGAATCGTCATTTGGTTCTTCTATCGGAAATGCATCGAAAGGAAAACCAGCAAAATCAGGGGGATCAGACGTATGAGCAGCTAAACCCCTGTACTTAGCTACTCTCTGGAGTTTAAATTTCCCTCACCTTCCGACGGCAGAGCATTTCCATGCTTCGCGTGTGCCGCTTTACGTTCCCGCATGCGATCCCAACACCGGCTTTCTTGGTGACCTTGCCGACCGCAGAAATCACACCGCGACTTGTCGTCTTGGTTCCGTTCAACCGTCACAGCCGGTTTGCGGGATTCGCCATTGCCGCCGTTGCGTGTACCACCACGGCCACGTCCACGAGCACGACCTCGGCCACCGCGACCACGGCCTCCACGGGCACCAGCAGCGCCTCCCCGTACAAACGTTTGCGTCAACACAGGCGCGGCTGACTGAGTCTCGGGAGGTGTCGATGAGCCGGCAGCCATCTGGAACTCTTGCTGCAAACGGGCAGAGATAGCTCTGTCCACAGCCTGTTGAAATTCACTGGACTGCAGCACGTTTGACACGTTTGCTGAACTGACATCACCGGCAGCAGTTTCGTCGTCTTCACTTTGCTTCTGCTTTGCCGAGACTTCAGCTGTCAAAATGACATTTGTGTTAGAACTTGTACGTTCTGAATCAACTTTTAACACCTTGAAACGTGTCAATAACTCTTCCGGTGTTGTCGGATTAAGCACCGCCATATGATTACGTAGGCTTGTACTAAGACCGTTCAACAGGTAGCGCACTTTCATTTCGTTTGACATCGCAGTATCGACTTTATGACAAAGGTCAATGATAGAGTAGTAATATTCAACCAGTCTCTCTTTATCCTGATTGAATTTGCGATTTTGCAACTTGTTCTGATAGTCCCACTTCTCATCCTCACTGACAAATTCTGTGAGAAATGCAGTACGCAAAGCGTCCCAAGTCGCAAACGGCTTTCTGAGGTTATACCACTGCTTAGCGGCACCAGCCGTCAAGTAGAACGCAAACCGTTCATTTTTGGTTTTGTCCAGCCAATTCGACATGGTCGCTGCTTCTTCAAACTCCTTCATCCATTCACGAGCGTTATGCTCTGAAGGCTTGAATTTATCGCACTGCAGCGGACCACTTACTGGAGCGTCTGTTGCGACCTTTACAAGACTCTGTAGGCCATCAGTAAGTGCTTTAACTTGTGCATCCATATTGACACTTTCAGTATTATTAATGTCAACGAGAACCGTTGCAGTACGTTCTGGTATATCGGTCAAGAAAGGTGACTGTGTACCTGTCTCAACGAGTGGCGAAGCGTCACTTTCAAGTATAACAGCCGACTGTGTTGAGCTTAATGCGGTAACAGGCTCATCGTCATCTGATATTAATTCTTCATCAGATTTGATTTCGCCCTGGGCACGCCTGACCTTTTTCGGTTTTGGCAATTCGCCTTCTGCAAACTCTGCTTGACCGTCTGAACGCAACGTCCGTCCTCCGGCTTTTTTTAATATGTCTGCTTCTGTATACGGAAAAGTCTGTGTAGCAGCTTTCGAACTTGAAGCTACAGTTATTGAACTTGCGACAGGCTTATCTGCTGCTGCAGTTGCAACTGACTTATCTGCTTTCTTAGTTAGCGGTTGCGTTGATTTACCGCTCTTGTCGGACATTAACGTCGACAATTATTTAACCAAGAATAGCATTACAAATAATGTTGGATTGCGCCTGGTGCAGCATGTATCCCAACACGACATTAGCAGTCAAACTACCAGCAGATAAGAGAATTAACAGTTGAGTTGACCACGAGCAACAGCTCATCAACTTTCTGATCGGTGCTACTATACAGTTCAAAACTTTACACATTTTGAACAAAAGCAACAACCAAATATTGTACGATATGCGATTCTTGTACGAATATTACATTCAAAAGAACTATCCGCTGAATAACGGAATCACATACCCAAAGCCGCTTCCACCGCCTTTAAACGTTCATTACAGGTGTCGTAAAGATGGGTATAAAATGGATCAATAACGGGAGCCGTCATATCGACTGAGAACAGAAAGGTCACCGGGCTATTACGGTTGCTAAACGCATCCACCCAGGAGCGCCATAATATATGATCGTTTCTCCTACACTATACGTAACGGAGAATACCGCCAAATCCCATCAATGATCTTTACTGTAGCCGCACACGATAGATAATGATTCGCTCAATCACAACTTCATCATGGCGCTGAGAAATCAGCATAGAAAACAGACGTCTTTAGACACAGATAGCTACGTGAAGATAGTTCACAACAATTGCATAAACGCCGGATTACGCCGGTGAGCAACACTGTATACATGACTATGCGTCACACAGCACACTAAATTATGCATGGCCATCCGGATGACAAAGGAAAGCAATAGTGCAACGGCCGACAAGTCCGGTCGTTTCCGCCAGGTAACCTATATTAGTCAGCTAAGACGGCAGACTTTCAACAGCATCCGCATAATTACGAGCTGTCGGTGTTCCCCGACAGATCTAGGCTGCTTCTTTTATTAATGGAAGTACGTATAACAAAATTGTAATTTAGAGCAAACCGTAGCTTTTTGGCAAGGCCAACGTGCGCCGTTACGCTCTGTCACTCCTCAATGGATTTTTATTTAGAAATTTTTTTTCCATTACATTTACAGCGCACGATAAAATATTACGGAAGCAGAACAAATCTCAGTGCTATCCCTCATCGGCCCCATCCGCATGGCGGATTCAGGAGCAGCGCGGACAAAGGATCGCTAAATTTATTAGCGGCAGTGGGGCGGATGGCCACCTCCGTGAAAAATCTTAATAGATTTTGGTTGTTGTTTTTTAATGTTTGAAATTTTTAATAATTATGTTGTGTGCCGCGCTTGCATTTATCTTATCTGGGTTATTAAATGTACGTATTAAAAGTACAGCCCGCATAATATGCTAAGGGACTGATTGGCTCCGCTGAAACACGAGTTACCATCCGGATAAGCCGTGGGGCTGCAAATGTTCTAGTCAATCTCCGCATAAATGCAGAAAGAAACAGATTCCCTTCGGTGCTTTGTGCAGACTTCGTGAAGTTACATCGCTTAGTGGCAACATTCATGCGTTGAAATAAAGAATAGCAAACTTTGAGACAGCTGCTCCGCTGAAAATCGCTTTCAGCAATATTTTTCTCTTTGAATCGTGTCTATATCGCAATAATTCGCGTGCGCTGATTTAAACATCACATTAGCCACATGCTGCGCATAAAACATCGTATTCAATCTACCGTTCACAGAGGTTCACTAGTTTTAAGGAATTGCAGAAAAACGTTAGTACCGTATCGGTACAATTAATCTGGCGCGCGAAGACTTAATATGATACGCGCGTGAAATAATTATGTATCCAACAGCCGATTCGAATTCCGTCCTATTGGCAGTTCTTCTAGTATTACTGCATTCCGCCGCTGTGAAAAGCAAAGGTATGAGATCAACAAATTCACCTGACGCAAAGATTTATAAATCATCTGCTCTTCGAGTATTTTCAATAAGGATCAAATACGCTGCAGACTGCAGTACATTTTCACCGGATCACTGCATCCGCCACATGTGGCGAGCTCATGATGAGCTATGCTTGCCAGGTGGTCACCTCAGCGGTTAGCTCCATAGCACTGTGTTAAATTCAAACGCTCGCGTTTCATCCGTTTCTAAACAGAATCATAAAAGCATTATCTTGAAAGGTAGGGAAAAATTGATCCCAAACAAGTTCCGTTTTATGGCGAGGAAGGCAGAATGTACTCTAGCCACTCTAGTTTCCTCGTAGACCTAGTACATGAATAAAACAATGACCCCAATGTCATGGGTATCAGGTACCTAAAATAAAGACATCTTTTCTTTCTCGCCAGAAGAAACAACTCAACTGGAATCGAAACGTTCCTTAATTTTTTTCCCTACCTTTTGCAATATCGCTTGCGATATCGACGGCTTGTTCAGAAAAGGATGAAACGCGAACGTTTGAATTTAACACAGCACGCTATGGTGCTAACCGATGAGGTGACCGGCATAGTCAACCATGTAGTTCGCCACATGTGGTGAGTGCAGTAATTCGTTATTAAAATTTATAGCACAACTGATCCGTCATATAAAAGCCGCAGTACACTGTTCTTAATAATTTCCCAAATAAGTATTCAGTATTTCCCAAATAAGTATTCAGTATCAAGTTTTAAAACGATAGTTAATTTAAGTTGTAGTCAAATTTTAAATAGATAGCTATCTGATAGCAGGTGACGAGCCGTACAGTGACCATGGCGGTATGTTTGTACCACTGCCGGATTTCAACACTGAACTGATGACGCGTGATCAGTGCGAGTTACAGTTCACCGCCAACTGCGGCGTGCGGACGGACGTCGGCAACTCATTCGCATGCGCCCAAAACCACGGTCTGGCCATTAACTGCAGCGGAAAAGCGACAAACGAGGAAGTGCACCAATTAGCACTGGTCCTTTCCAGGCCGCCACTGAAGGCGGTGTCCTTCAGTCTGAACGACGGACCTCAGATAACCTTCGACAACCTGGCACCCGTCCGCGAGCAGACCGTGGTCTTCCACTTGCGCAACTGTCGTTCCTCGCGCGCCACGAAGAAGCTGGCCCAGCTGTTAATGCCACATTTGCTGGAGTTCAGCGTACACGACTGCCGCGCGTTGGACGTACGGCGAGCGGACTTTTGGCCGTCGAGTAAGCTGCGCTCAATCCAGTTCGCCAACAGCACACTGGAGTCCCTCGAAGCCGGCACTTTCGCTGATTTGCCCGGATTGCGACTACTCTCGCTGGAGCGCGGATTCCGTCAGATGGAGCTCTTCCCGGAAGACGTGCAAGCGTATTTGATGCGGCTGCACTGCGGCGGCGAGTTTGAGCCGTTCCGGCTTTGGTGGGGCGTCAGCGGCTTGTTGCAGCAAGCGACGGAAGGCTCAATCTATCGCATCGAGTACGATTCGTGGAAGAACGAAGACCTGAGCAAAAACGATATCTTTCTGCCCATTGACTGTGCCGCGACGCCGTTTCCCAACGGTTCGGCTGCTATCGATTTTACGATGGAAGTCTTTTCCGCTAACGAATGGCTTCGTAAGTTACTTAATAAGTTATTTTAAGCCTGATATTTTTCAAATTTCTACGGATCTGTGAAATGCTTGCAGAAGCTGAAAAATTTTGCGAAGACTGCGCAAATTTGACAGCAACCAATGATGCGTTCCCAACATTTTCCAGCGAGCCAGTGACCGAAACTGAATGTCAGATATTGACGATTGTCAGATGTTATTCAGTACATCGAAACTTTCACAGCTGCAAAAATTATCCATTTACACCCGCGAAGGTCGAAGGACAACCGGAACCTGACTGTAATGGCGCAGTACAGAAACGCGAAATACGAGAGCTGGCCACTGCGATGGCCAAACAACGGCTCCGACCAACAACGTTGACAATGAGTCAGCGCTGGAATATTACAGCCGCCGACGTGTCACCAGTTCGGCGGACTATGGTCAACCTCTACGTGTTCGGCTGCACGGACAGCCGAACCACGCAGATACCTCGCGAGCTGCGGCTAAACAATCTCCTGTACCTTGAAATAATGTCTTGCAGCGACCAGGCTGTGCAACGGAGTGACTTCGAGCGCCTACCGAAATTGCGCCAGCTAATGTTTTCCAACACTACGATGGTTAGTCTGGAAATGGACGCATTCAGCGCTCTCCCCGACCTGCGTCTGCTGGTGCCGGAAGGGGATTTCTTTTATCGAGCGCTTGTCGAGGGAAGATTTCCGCAGCGGGCCCGCGACTACGTGTGGCGACTGCACTGCGGCTGCGAGCTCGCATGGTTCCGGCAGTGGTGGACGAACAACACGCGGCTCTTGCACGGTGTGCAGACAGAAGCGGGTGAAGTATGGGCCATTCTGAATTATGTCAGAAGCGATCCGCTGATGCGAGCGGACGTATTCCTGCCCATAGACTGTGCACAACCGTTTCCCCGGGTTGCCGAGAGCATCAACGTCACGGAGACAGCCTTTTCGCGACACGCAGAGCAGTGTATTGGACACTGAGATCAGATAGGCTACGGAATGTGTGCTTTAATCAGCGACGTCTGCTGATACATAATGTGTTCAGTTACTGCTAAACCCTCTGTTTGGTCTCTTGGACTTTGTAGCTGTAGTACTTTGGTGTTGTTTTTCTTATACTGTAAACTACAGATGATGTCTACAGACTACAGATGATGTGTGAAAAACTTGGATCTAATGCTTAATGTTTTGATTAATTAAGAATTGTCATAATGTTATTGCGTAGTTTCTTAATTAGCTGGATTTGCTTTTGCTCTGTTAAAGTCATCCGGTCAGTTGTTGCGGAGGTTCGAATTCGTACTATAGGCACAGTATAACGCTTGTACAGTACTCGTACTACCATTAAGTAAGTGTGCCTGCAGCGTGTAAGTCTTTACACGTGGTGGATATTGCGTGTGATTGCTAACTGCACGATAACGTTTATCCGTGCAGGGAAATGGGAGAATAAAGATGGATCGATAATTACTCTGTGTAACTAGCCTATCTACAGTGTACCGTGTACACTAAGACAGCGCGGCGACAACGGTGTTTTTGTAGCTTTACTCACACAACAAATAACAAGAAAGGTTCGATTATGTTAAACTCACATCCAAAGCAAAACTTGAGAAAAACACTACTGACTTCACAACTGAGAAAAGCATTAGACTTATAAGAGAAAATCCACGATTCTACACACAGGATAAAATGGAAAGTCATAAAATGCCAACACTTGCACAAACACACCCAGTTTCCATTAAGACGATAGTAACTCATGTACAGAGTACATATACAACATGCACGCTAAGTGACGGTTAATGACACAGTTCTCACATCGGCACTTAGGCCTAATTAGATAAGGGAATATGCATGCGGATATGCGGATATGTGGGATAGCGCCCTTGAAGACGTAATCGATGCGATAATCGATCGATCCACTTCCGGTATATTATGCAGGCGCATATGTACTGTATGTATACAAGTACACGTGCACAGAGAACGCGCGGCGTTACAAGCGCCTTTTTTGAACTCTTTAATCAGCACAAACATGTAATTTAAAATTTCCGATTTTTTAATTGGAGGAAATCAACTGTTTATGCAGAGGTTTTCTGATTGCGTTATCCAGTGGAAACTGGAATCTGGGACGTTCGCAATATCCGTCTTTGCAAAGATCCTTACACTTGTCGTTCAGGCAATCTTCATTATGTCTGCATGTCCTGAGGCCTGCGCAAGCTCCGCCCGTTTCTGTACGTTGACCGAAAAGTTACTATGCCGTATGCCCGAGCTATTCTATCACAGATACGGATTACACGCCACGACAAGGTCATTTACCGGCGGCTTCCAGAAGAGCGCCGATCCAAGCAGGGCGATCCAAGCAGGGCAGAAAGAAAGAAAGATGACAATGTCATAATGCTGCCAACGAGGGAACGAAGCAGTCAAGTATCAAAAACTGGTAGTGTGGCCTGCAGTTTGCCGATAGCCGTTTCATGCACCATTCGTCCCCACTGTCGATCATCTGCGGCAGCACTACCTCATCGCGTCTTTACCGAAATCTGATGCCCGCCCCATACCACGGTTCGGTTTAAAGGGCGCTGCTCCGAGAAATTAGCCGGCAAAAATGAATGTTCGCCGGCTTTATTGTTTATTGTTTGTTTATTGAAACGGTAGGCAGGTAACCCATTAAAAACTAGGATCGTATTCTAGCGTGGGAATTTAAACCTGGCTCACAAAAAAACACGAATCTGGCACGTGAAGGAAGTCAGAGAAAGACCATACAGAAAGCCAAGATCGTAAAAAAAATAGGAACGTTACGCAGCAAAGTTAAAACGTTTAAGCGCATTACGAAAAACAAAGAGAGATGCACTATCAAGGATGCCGTTTCCGTTCGCAACCAGTTAGGTGCGGATGTTGTTGAGCCTCCAGGCCAACGTCGACTTCCCTATCCTTGTTGCTGCTTCCGCGTCAATGTAAGTGCGGTTTCCGTTAAGGTTATACGCGCTGGACGACTGCTTCACGACGATCATTTCGGTGAGGTAGTGCGGTACCTGGAACTTTTCAGGATGAAGAATTTTATACAGCCAGGTTGCTTCCTGGTGTTTCCACCGTTCAAACAACGGTGCAATTCCAAATTGTGCCATCAACTGGGCAGCGGATGTTTCAGGAAAATTGGCAATGGCTCGAACAGCTTTTCTTTGCGCGACAGCCAATGGCTCCAGCGTGGACGCAGGCGCACCACTCCATACAACGGAGCAATGGTCCAGATGTGACTGGACAAATGCGTGATAAAGTCCAACGCGTTGGGGCACCGGCAGCGCGTCCTTCACACTGTTTATGAGAGCGAATCCATGATATGCACTTTTTTGGACCTTTTTAATTTGATCAGTCCATTTAAGATGCTTATCAATTATCACTCCCAAGTGTTTTACTGACTCTTCCGGTTCAAGCTTATGCCCATTCAAATCAACCGACACAACACGTTTATCCCGACTGTATGCAGAAGTAACCATAAGCAGTTTTTGACTTTTTTTCGTTAACCACCAAACGATTCAGATTTAACCACTCACAAATTAATGGAAGCGCCGCAGTTATTTTGTTTGCTGCTTCAGACTCCGTGTCCGCTATCGCATAGCAGATTGTGTCGTCGGCGAAACTTTCTAACCGCACATCAGGTAAACGTAAATTGATTTTTAGCAGTTCGTTCAAATATATAATAAAGAGTAGCGGACCATGAATGGAACCTTGCGGCACACCTGCACACACGCGTTCCCAAACCGATAGCACTTCACCAATACGCACACGCTGCATTCTTCCAGTAAGATACGAGTACAACCAATTCAAGTGCATCTCTGTTGAAACCCAGATCGCGTAGTTTTTGCAGCAAGAGATTATGACACACCGAAGGAAAGGCACTTTTTAGGTCGAGAAAGACGCAAGCTACAGCCTTTTTGTTGTCAACGGGGAAAAGATTGGCAGTCCCGAACTACGACCAGAAGGTTTATTTTAGAGAAGCTTTACGGGTCATGCCATACCGCTGATAAGACCAGCCTATGTGCAAGTGAATCACCGCCGGACATTGCGGACGTGGAGGTATTGAAACTGTATGTAGCAGACAGAGAGTGCAGTGTTTTAGGGCGAGACTGGATAAATGAATTGGAATTAAGTTCGCTCAGCCTGAGAGATTTACAGCGAAGGGGATTGATTGGATGATTATCGTTGTCGACGACCCAATATCTAACTGCAACGATACCTTCACGTTCTCTATGCTAACGGGTACATACAACAACGAACTACCAAGCAAACCAACGCGTAACATATCGTACGGGTTCTCCTCAATATAATTCGTACCGCGGCGACCTTGACCTCTTGTTCCTCGTCCCTTCCTCGGCGGGGCGCTCTACACACAGGGGAATACGCCCAGACTTACCACAATTACAGCATGGCTCTGACTGAAACGGACAGTTCGTTTTAACGTGGTTGAACGAACCACACTCATAAACACCGTTGTCTTCTTTCGTTCCAGCCACCTGAGCTGTAGCCTCTTCCGTCACCGCCTCCGCGGTATCCTCCGGCTCTTCCACGGCCTCTGCCTTGAAACCTACCGCCTCTTCCTCCTCTTCCCCGGCCACGCCCCCTCACAAAGAATATATCATTGTGGGACGTGTCTTTCGCGTCTGCCCTTGTCTTTTCGTAATTAACTGCGTGGTCAAAAAGGGTATCAAATTTCTCAACTGAGGAGTTCGGTAATGACCACAAATACCTCATAGTGGACTCGTTCTGTAACCCTGATATGAACGCTGACGAAAGCTGGTCGTCTAACACTCTATCTGGATAGTTACATTTTTCTCCTCACTGATCCCGCAGTGCGTTTGCGAACTGTTCTAATGACTGACCTGACTTCTGCTTTATATTAAACCAACTTGAGTGACCCGATGACATTTAATTCTAACTGGCATTGGTACATCAACTTGAATGCTGAACACAATAGGCGACGCTTTCTTTTATCCACTGCCCAGGAATATCGCGAATTTGGCTACTCAATGCCCATTGTCTCTCGGAATACTACTGGCACACAGCAAAGCAAAACCTGTCATACCTTGGTCGGCGTCGGCGTTTGCTAGTACCACGCTGCTAGTGGTAGATTGATAATTTTTATTCTGCTACGCTTTTCAAATGCTTTTGTGGGGGACATTGTCCCGCCCGTTCAGCTGCCTACTCTTAATAGAAATTTGGCCCGCTAACTCTTTATGAAGCTATTGTTTTTTTGCTTCGTGCCATTATGACTTTATGTGACGCATGTCATAGTTTTGGCGCTGAAACCGTTTTATTTACAACGGACTTTTACTACAAATATTATTGTGTTACATCAACTGAGCGAAAATTTCAAACTTAGTATTTGTACAGCAAGTGCCATTTACAATAGCACTTAAACTATCCAGTAATGTGTTTTATTAGCGCAAGCCAGTCACACTGCAAATTTTGTTAACAAAAAAGATTTATTACAACAGAAACATTTCTCTCAAATTATCCGTTAAATCAATGGTTCCTAGGACGGATGCCGCGTTGCCAGTAATTATAACAGTAATCACTGGATAGTTAATTCTTCTAGAACATCCAACCGTCCCGAAAGCAGAAGCCGTGTCTAAGCGCACCCGGACAACTGCAAACGTAACATTTCGCCGCACTCAAACTCGACACGCGACTATTCGCCGCCGGGCGCTGGAACACATCGGTTTACCCACGTTTTCCTTGTTGTCTTAGGTTTTCTTTACTTTTTTAGGTGTTTTTTGTGTTCTCGATTTTTTATACTTGTGCGTCTTCTTAAGAGGTTCGGCGTCTCAAAAAATTTCTTGGCGTTAAAAGGGTCTCGCGACGAAATGTCTCGCTGCGTGATGTCATTCCGCTTAAATGTTCCGCTATCAAACGTCGCGCGTCGAAATGGCGCTGCGGCGAAGTGTTTGCGGCGAAATGTCGCCTTGTCCCATTCTTCAATCGGATGGTTGCAGAGCGGCTCGTGGAAGCGTTGAATAACGAACAATCCATTACCGATTTCGGCTTTACAAGTTGGGTACCAGTCACATACATGGAGTCTATCCCTATACGCTGAGCGCAGCTCTGTCAGTAATTCGCACGCGGATAATCTCTTCTCACAATCGGAGCTTAAGCAGCTTCGTATATATACAGCCAGATGAGCTGGAAGAAACGCGCTAATCAAAGGGACGTATCCCTCAACAATAAGGGAAATGAACCTATTATAAATGGCATATCGATTTCACGTTTTCCACCCCTCACAACCTCATAA